CACGCCAGCTTCCATCAACCAACTATAAGTAATGAATTAATGGGGGTCTGTTTTTTTGTTTCCTAGGTCTCCTCGTATGTCCTTCCCTGATGAATAGCGACACACAAAGGTGAAAAGACAGCATCCACATGACACATCTATTCCCAGCTGTTATCAGATTGATTATTGTACGGTTGGTTTCAAGGTGACAAGCGAGCTCTAATGGGCGATGAGGAAAGGCACGATCTTGTCTTTGAGATTTTTCCACCTAGTTTCAAAATTTTGAAGATTGATGTAGGGCCCATTAACACATGCATAGGATACCATTTGGAAACTAATGGTAAGTTTCGCAACACATATAAGAGGGTCACATGGGGAATACCAAACTTGGGCAGTCAACAGTCAAATTCTCGAAAGAAGCGTAATCTGTGGGCAGTTTTTTTCTGTGTTTGCAGTTAGGGAATTCCCAACTTGGCAAAAACAGCTCATTTGCCAAGTGTAATGCTTAGTAAGTCTCGCACACAGTCTCGGCTTATGTCCCGCTAATATTATTCCTTCGATGAAAAAACAGGTTTAAGTTCTCATCACGATTTAACCCGACTCAATAACCCTTGGTCTACTACGAATAGCAATGGCTCGGCCAGCCAAAAATTTCGTACATCCCGTTTCGTCTCAAAAATTCTAATTTTACTAATAAATTGTTAGCCTAATAAAAAAAAATTGACTTTCAAATAAATCTCTTATTAATATAGATAATTCAAATATTAAAATTATATTTATTAAAAAAAGTTAAATCTTACCCTTTCATCGTGAATATAATTAATATTATTTTTAATATAGCATAAAAATATTTAGGTAAAATCAGAATTAAAAAAAATTCCAATTTTCATTTGATCTGGATTTGGTAGTGGATCAGAGACCATGTTCATCTGTTACATATGTGTGCGACGCATACTTGATTTATTTTTATTCTTTCTAGAAATCATTTTAAGAAACATGCATCCTTTTCAATTTTATTTCCCTCATAATCGCACCCCAAAAGCAAAGAGAAAAGGACATAAATTTAAAACAAGATTTTATAACTGGCACTTAAATATATCTTTGACTAACATTACACCAATGCCACATTGGGGCAGGTTAACCTTTGGTTTCTAATGCTTTATATTCACTTGGTAGCTCGTGAATGATAAGAGATGCCCTTTTCGAATGTATCGTTCCATATTTATGACTAAAAAGAAAAAGTGGGAGCAGCATCATGCAAGGCTTCTTGTACTGAGCAATATGAGTAGGGAATCTCATGCACACTCTCTCACTCAAATTCTTATCCACTTCATGCAAACATATTTCGTTACGCCCATTCTCGAACAAGCATTTTCTTGAATACCACGAGATTAACCTCGTCTGTCTCACAATAATGCTAGAGATTCACATATTGGTAGATGAACTGCATATCTACACCAAACAGGCAAGTCGGCAACCGACACGTACCATCCACCTATATAAAAAAAAAATTAAGGCAAAGTTCTTGGACATACATACGGTTTCTAAGATTACTGTAATTACGCTGATTAGTTGTTGGATATGTGTACACATACTTGCCAAATAATTACAAACTATGCCAAAATTGAACTTGGGACAGTTGTATGAGAGTGGAGAACCCTTTTTTTGTGCCTCTTAATCATTAGAACCCTAAATAATTGGGCCATGTATGGTATTACTTTAGCTTTGTCATGTGACTAATAGATCCAAAACTCATCAATAGATATGCATCTTAGTTATATGTTTGGGAAATGGGACCATGCACAATGTATATGTATCATCGATTCATAGTTTACCATCTTTGCTTGATTAGTTTGCTAGAGAGAAACAAAGAAATTAGATGCTTCAATTGGCTATAGTGACTTATCTACACTGAATTGGGACCTTCTTTATAAACCAGACATAAGTCGCATAATGTGAGAGAGTGATGTGCCCATGTCTCGACCTTCTATTGCATGATTTATGCACTTCCAACTATCACGCAAGTTCATAATATAATGTTCAGTAGGCATGGGCACTGAGACTAGGAATGGATCCACATGCTTCCTTCTTTATTTTATGTACCTTCGCCATCAAATTCTCATGGCCAGGGATCTGCTAGCTGTGAGTTAAGTCGAAAGGGAACAAACAATCTGGGAGTACTGTCCCACCTGGTCTCTAATCTATCTATTAAGGATAAGCTTTCGGTTTGACAGGATAGTCGATCTTGCATGTGCAGAATAATTATTTATGGTTTAGGAGTTTCTTTTAATAAAAAAAATACATGTGGAAACAAACTTTTCACATCAAATTAAAATTTATACAAGTAATGAAACTGATTTTACTTGTAAAATCCTACACGTCTGTATAAAGATTTTTTTTTTAATTTTGTTTTTTATGAAACGCTTTGTTTGCATTTGTTTTACGCACTGAGGTAACTAGATCTCTCATTTTCTCAATTCCTTCAATCTCGAGTTTAGACAAGATTTGATCCCAACTTACTCAAAGGGCGGTAAGTGATGTTATCTCTGCAACATCAGTATAGTTACTAGAGAATTTGATTCGACTTAAATTATGATAAGGAAGCAATTTGTACAAACTTGGTTCGTACTAATATAGTTTAGAGGGGGAAAAACCGTCCATAAACTCGGTTTATGCATTGTAGATCAAAAGAATAAGTGATTGACATAGTTAATATATTAAGACCAAAGACTGATTCTATGCAAGCATCTCTCGTTTGATTAGAATTTAGATTCCTAAGCTCTTCACCTAAACTCTCTTAATTACAGGTTCAATCCGATTAAATCACTCGGCGCTGGGGTTCAAGTAAAGCATAGAAGTTATCGCCCTATGTCTCAATTCGCAATTTGATATTCCCAATAAGCCCACCATCCAAATAGGATTAAAACAAACAAACAAAGCGGAAGAAAGAGATCCTATAAGCTAATTGCCACGCAAGGTTTTTAAAATTAATGATCCATAGACCGTGCGTGACCTAAAAAGAGATGCTTTTGACATAAAATGAGAAGGGTTGTTTGTTCCACGCACGACATTACAAAATTAAATTGCTAATTAAAAGAACAATTTCATATTGCATTGGAACAAACAATGTCAATCGGTGTGGTTTCGGCTTGACCCACATAGGATATAAAAATAAAGAAAAATACTACAAGAAAGTGCATTTTGTTAGCTTCTAAATACACAAATAATGATGCAATTACTACTAGGTATCAGAGATACAATTTGAAATAAGCTATAAGCTATGGGGTTTGCACAAGGAGAGACATGCCGCATCTTCGCATCTATGAAAAAAGTTCGGTGTGTCGGGCGCTTTGTTTTGGGAGATTCATGGAGCTTGACAGCTTGTCGTCTACTAGATACATCTTCGCATCGGCGTTTTGACTCGACTCCAGCTTCGATGTCTAGGTGTATGCACATCACCCTCCCCTTCCCTTCTTCAAATAACAACAACAATAGTTCTTTTTGTTTGTCTGATGATACACGTGTAAGAATTTCATCATTGCGGATTAAGACAGTAGAAGATTAATTGGTTGGACTCGTGACCCACTAAGTTGACCGTTCGTAAAAAATATCAACCCACCTATATCCCAAGCATGTCACTGCCAGTCTATAAAACTACTAATGCTACCTGGTTTACGATTTGCTTATTTACAATGGGTTGAATGATAAATTTTGCCTCAATTACATGAGATTTGATAATTTCAGATTTTTAATATTAAATTATTAATTTAGAAGTAAAATTGATTAAAATTTTTTAATTTTTATTATGAGTAACAATCAATTTATCGTTACTTGAAATATCAAAACGACATTATTTTGATATTTCATTATTAATTATGTTTTTTTAAAAAAATCTAAAAATGTTTTCAACCCCATAATCTTATTTTTTTAACCTTTTTTTTTATAAAATATAATAAATTATATAAAAAATATTTTATAAATATTTTAATCCCTCTAATTTTGAATTTTTTTTAATAAAATATTATAAAAAATGTTTTTTATGATTTACAAATTTTAGAGGTCAAGCCTTAATTATGCTCGTTTTAATTTATAAAATATTATAATTTATATTATAAACATTTTAATGCTCAATGAATATTATAAGCATTTTATAAAAAAATGTTGTAAAAAAAAGCATGATTAGCAATGTAAAATTTCAGGTTTTAAAAGAAATATTTTATAAATTAAAATGAGCATAGTTATGGGTTGACCCTTTAAATTTTATAAATTATAAAAAATATATATTTTTTTATAAATGTTTATAATATTTTATATTAAAAAAAGTTTTAAAAAATTCACAATTAGAGGATTAAAAATATATACTTTTTAAAAAATATATAATTAACATCGAAATACTAAAATGATGTCATTTTGATATTTCAAATAACAATCAGCCGTCGTTTCTTATAACGACAATTAAAAAAATTTAAATTTCAAATTATACAATTCGATACTATATATTTGATATTGTTAAATGGTAATAAAATAACAGCAACATTTATCATTAAACCACCTACAATATAAATAGGGGTAAGCGTGGTCATTTTGGTCACCCTAAACATTCCTAGTTATGTTGGGTAATCCTATTTCTTGGGTTGACGATGACCTGCTTTGGGTTTTCAAGAAAAACTCATGTCCGTTGGATCTTAGGTTAAAGAAATACACAAATTATATAAGAAGATAACTCAAAACACATTGTCTTTCCGGACCCCAGGTTAAGCATGGGACTACTTGTGCTAAACTTTACCAAACCTGCTAGTCGATGTATATGCGCAAACAAAGCATTAAAGCCCGTCACGGGCTCTCAAAGAAGACAGCTCACAAACATTGCATTTAAGGCTATCACGCACTTCCCAGTTGAGACTCTCCTCCATAAGAGTGATTCCCATGCCGAAAATATTTACATTTATTATTTAGCACAGAAATTCATGAACACGAAGCTAGGCCTGGGATGGTCTGTTGGCCTCATGAGAAATACCTGCTTAAGCTGTTTTGGGAACCTGCAGACAAGGTCAAGAACGGAAAAATGCTATCCTGCAAGCTGCAAAACCTATAGTTGCGTCCAGTTGGGAAATCTTGAATTTTGGAGAATAGTCGCATACAAACTGTTTTGAACCAATCACAACTCATGAACAAGTACTCTATTTACGAAACAGAAGAGTGGCTTCGGGTAGGAAACTAAATTACATAATGGAGAAATGGGTTAATGCGATGAAAAGTTTGGAGTCTACAAACTCGTCTAGAGTCTGTTCCAATATGATTTAAACATAATTGGAAAAGAAAAAATCTATTTTATTGAATTTTTTCAATCAAGCATAAAAGAATAATATACATGCTCAAAATATAGCTTGGAAAATTATTTATGGACAAATGCAAGCAATCAAGAGCAAACTATAAATTTCTTTAAGCACATATTATACACAAGTATAAAAATATACATGGAGCTAGCCCATCTGAAGCAAGCAAACCGTCAACGAGGTTTTGATGTGAGAAGAAAATGGCTCTAAAGAGCTCTTTCGCTCATCGCATTCTCCAGAGATATCTGATTAGACATATCAAAAGAAAAAGGTGATGATTAGCGGAGCTGAAGATTTGTTTTTGGAACACGAACTTTCTTTTGTTTGCTTTGGATTCCTTCAACTCTACGTCTAACGTTAACTCAAGATTAAATTAGGCCCCGGCTCATAACCACAATGAATTGCATGCTCCAAAACACTAGTGGATCCCACTTTATACAAAATATAGATAGCGGATTCACATTTTAGTTTTTATAATCATGTTAGTAACTAAATTACAATGATAGTATTAAAATTGCAAAACAAGAAATCCTTATGAATTGGACTTTCATGATCTCTATCACAGGAGAGTATGGGCTTGCAAGGATCTGCATTTGAGGCTTGAGATTGATTACTTAAGCAAGAATGCTGAAAGCATTTTCAGAATTTTCTTCCGCGCCCCCTCTTTTGTTGCGATGGTATAATTAACTTCATATCATACAAATCTAGCATCTTTAAATGCATGCACAAGACACAATATTTGATAATGTTTGTTTACCAGAAGAAAATCTTCATCGGTGCCAAAGGATTTGCGTGCTTCTTCCAGGCATTTTGACGAAATTCTCTCATGTTTACTGCATTAAAATTAATTGCTCAATCATAAAGTCATCAGGAAGCACAGATTTTCAAATTTACAGAAATGAAATAAAGAAAATTTTCAATAGTTCAATAGAGTGCTGCAAATAAGAATGCCTTTGTAGCAGTGTCATAAATATCAGACCATAAATAACCAAGACGATAGTTGAATGAAGTCAAAATCCAGTGATATCACACACCTATTTAAAAAAGCACAAATGTTGCTGCAACTAAGACCGCATTTCCCAGTCTTCAAATAGTTTTACAAGGGAAGTTTACAAGGTGGGAATTCAGATGGATGGAATCCCATAAACTTTAATAATGTCTTAATTTTGTTATGTGGTTTCTTTTGTAGATTATCCACAACTAAACTCATCAATTCATAACTGGATGCTAGTTCAAATAATATATTATTCCTTTACTGGATTTTAGATCAAACAATATGTTATTTCATATGGTAATTTTGGGATCATATTTGGGCCACATGTTTTCCTGGTATATCCATGGCATACAGACTACGAAGAATTCTTGGGGGCAAGTAATTCCTAACTAGGTGGTTTCTTGTGCTTGCTACCACAACAGTGCAGGTTTGATTCTTGTAGAATCGTATCATGCAGAAATGCAAAAGAGCAGGAACCCACTTAACCCCACTTAAGACTATCTTCAAATTTCCCCTCTTAGGACCCCATTTTGGTGGCCCTAACTGGGCAATGGCCTCCACAAAATGTAGAAATAAAAGATGAAACAAATTTTGCTGATCCAAAAAAACATTTCCTATATCAGAGATGATAAACAGAACAGGAAGTGAAGGGAATTAGAAATCATAAGGAAAATAAAGATCAAACCTAGAAGTGGCAGGATCTCGAATCTCAAACTCATCTGTGCCAGCATCATAGCCACATATCACAATGTAATGACCTAATGCATAAATATATCACAATTAAAATACTCATGATATATTTATCAAGAAAGTTCTGACAGGAAGAAATGAATATAAAAAAAAAAAAAATCCCAGACACAGTTTCAATCTGATAATGAACCATGTCTCTAGAAGCCAATCATTATTGCGAAATGGATGAAGTAATAAACCATCACAAACAGAAATGCAGAAGAAGCTAGAGAGAAATTGAATAAAATACGCGACTTGAACATACTAACATCTGATTACTAACACACCCTGTCATAAATAGAAGCCAATCATTATTGCGAAATGGATGAAGTAATAAACCATCACAAACAGAAATGCAGAAGAAGCTAGTGAGAAATTGAATAAAATACGCGACTTGAACATCCTAACATCTGATTACTAACACACCCTGTCATAAATAATTTCATGGGATGAAAATTACATCAAAATCCACAAGGTCTGACTACCATGCCAATGGCATGAACTGTGACTCTTTTGACAGGTTAATCCATTAGAATGAATGACAATTTTTCTTCTGTTACAAAATAATAAGAAAATCAGGAGTCCATTTTTATGTGATAAAAAAGAAAGAGAAAATATAGGGAAAAAAAGAGCATCCTCCTCACCAGCATAGCCTGAGTTGCCACCATTTAAGCTAGGTAGAACAACATTCTCCAACCAAGAGTGACTGTGACAGAATATTTTACCAGAAACAGTTAGCATCAAGTTTTTCCACGTTTTTCTTTCCTTTTCTATGAAGTCAATGTCAGACTACGTTTAACCAAAACTACATAAATAAGTGAAACGTACTAGTAACATAAAAAAAAGACAAGGGATAAATGTAAGCCTGTCTCAAAGCAGATACAAAATGGGCACAGGTTCATACAATCATTCCGACGTGAAAATTAAAGGAGAAAAAGTAATTCCAAAGAGAATAATAAGAAATACGATGTTAAACGAGATCCACACCTCAATTTGTACTGGTTAACCAATGCAATTGCAATATATTTCCCCGACAATATGAAAAGAGAAATTTCCTTTTCATTAATTGACCTGCACTGTAGAAAGGAAAAGGTTCATAAAGATTACCAACATAAAAAATGACATATTGATTGTAGACAGGTAGATAGTGGCCAATGAATGAATTTAAGCTTTTAAGTGAAATGAAAAATGTTCTGCTCATCATATTAGCAAGTTTCGAATTTGCTGTCAATGTAAACTACTCACATTAACAACATTTGATGACTATGCATTATGAGCTCATAGATGAATGTTGTATACCTGTATATTAATGCCTTCTTCTCGTGCTTTCTTAAATAACATATCCACTCGCACTAGATCTGTAGGCAGTTGTTCCTACATGAATTTAAAGACCTTTTTGAGCATTACAGTGACAATCGGACAGAAACAGAAATATCATCAAAAGAAACAGAAGCATAATGCAAAAAATTCATCAAAATGGCCCATATAAAATAGCAATGCTCAAGGAAAAAAAAAAAAAAAGAATACAAAATCATGGAATATCACCTTGTAAAATGTCTCAACTGAATAATTTGGATTTGCTCCAAGTGTTACTGTGTAGTAGGAAAAACTAACAGAATACATCTGCAGTAAATATGCCAGATCCACTGTCCAAATGCTGCAAACAAGACATCGATTCAACAGTATGATTCATTACAAGATCTTCACATTGATTCATAACAATACAGAAGTTTGTGTGCTTGATTCATTCATTGTCACCCATATCTTTGGTACAGAAGTTGTGCGCTTGATTCATTGTTGCCCATATCTTTAAGTGTATTTGTAGGCCATGGCATGACTACCAATTATACTGAACACAAAACTATGTACACCTTTAGACTTTCCAAGTGATGGTGGTCAACAATTTCTACAATCTTACAGCATTAATGGGTCATTTGATCTTCGTTTTTGTTTAACATCAAGATATAGAATTGGAGCAGCAATTTCCATCTTGGGAAAATGCTGTCCAAAAGCAGTCAGCGTTCTTGCAGTGGTGATCAAGTAATTTCCAGGTATGACAGCTATAATCATGTTCAGAGGAAGAAACAACACCAAATTTCCCCTAAAAGGCAAGGAAGAACCTGGCCTACATTCATCAATTGCTTTCCATGAGGTTAAAAAACTATGTTCGAGGTGTGGAGTTTTATTCTTGCAATCTACTTTGGAAATCCTAAAAGTATAATATGTCCCTAGTTTTTAAGATATTATTGCAATCACACCAAGATACTATGATACATACAAGAAATGCTAAAAACAAAACCTTTTTGATGCTATCTCCTAAACATACTTTATTGAATAGCAGAACAAGTTTCAGGAGATCAAATAATTCTCAAAATGAGCATTAATTGCTTAGCACAAGAATCTTCCTTCTAATTTTTCCAAATTGCAATACTTAGGAAAGAAGTTGAAAGGATCTAGTAAAAGCTTGCCACCAGAAAATGTATACGTCGTAATCAGCTCCATCTTGAAATCATGTCCAGAATTTCCAGTAGCAGAAACCCTGAATGATCGATCTACACTATAGGATTTCACCAAACCACTAACAAATTACAATACATTCAGTTCAGATTTCTATGAAGAACAAACCTATTAGTGCGGCATAGGTATGCCAAGCCCTCAATGCTGCAATCATTGATTCCAATGGTATTCAAAGCCATCAAAACACAAGCAAGGCCACAATCCCAAGAGTGGAGCTGCTTTATATGCGGTACCTATAATATCAGCACCAACACAATTAAATACAATTCCAAGAAAAATAAAACTAAACAACAACTGTTTGGGAAAAAGCCAGGATTTTCTCACTTCAACAAAATGGGAGCAGGACAAGACTGCATCCTCACATTTCCTACTGCTGCTCGACGAAGACGGCTGAGTTGAACCATCTGGTTTTCCTTCGTCTACTACTACCTCGATATTAAGAATCTTGTTAAATAAAAAATACAACGGCCACATCAGTAGTGACCAGATTAACAATCAAAAACTCCACTTAACCGCTAACACTCAAGCATTCCCCAAATAACTTAGCCTTGTCTTGCAGTCATGGAAATTTTTTCCATTAAAGGAAAAGAATTTCTTCAACCTGATGTAAATTAACAATACAACAAATGAAACTTCCAGCAGTTAAAATAGAAAGTCTGGTAATGATCCAATTTCACATCAAACATTCAAAAGAAAAAAAAGCCAATGAATTGATCATCATGGAGCTCTATCTCTACTTTAAAACAATCATAACCCACGAAAATATAAATATTAAGTACAAGATGATTCAAACAGATTGATTGATCCAAATTCAACTATCTAATCAAGTTTTCAAACAAAAAGAAATTATACTATCAGCTAAATTATGGAGAGAGTTGACCATATGTTTTTATGTACCGATTACGATGGAGAATGAGGATAAGAATATATACCTCTGCAGAAAAAAGAGACAGATCTTTTTCGAGTTTGTTACGTCTGTCAAGGGCAGATTCAGCTACTTTGATTTTCGGTTTTTGTCTTTTCGCTTTTTCTTCGTAATCTTTAATTAATTAATTTAGTAAATGGAATAGCTGCTCTTATTGATGATGGTGTTGAGGGCCCATTGGATACAGAGTGGACTACGTTCATTTTTTAATTCCACTGGTTCGTTGTCAAGTGTGTGGTTCTAGGTGCTGGTTAGTTAGGCCTTGGCCCACTCACCTTCTACAACCTAACAGTATTGTCTCGTGTGTGTAGTTCGTGCTATTGAACGTTTTTTTTTCAACTTAGGATTTAAATTTATAATTTTTTGTTTCAAAAAATTATTACCACTAGATTACAAAGAAGGTTCATGCTATTGAGTTGAATTTATGTGGATGAGCAAAAATGTAAACTCACCCGACCAAGTTAACGTTCATAAAAAATGAAATTGGGGCTGTGAGCAATACAGGCCTGCCCATCACTTTAATGGATTGGTTACACACTTACACCGCGGTCCATGCTGTATATAAGAGTTGCAGAAGCCATTGATGGGTTCAGCATGGAGTAGAGGACAGGCCAGGCCCGTGTGGCAGCATTGGCAAAATCGCCGGTGAACATTATAATTTACCACAACTTGTTTGTACTGTTTCTTATTTATGAGGATTTAGGAGTACTGGGCTGATAAATTGTTGCACATGCAGCGAATAGGGAACATAAAGGACTGAATTTTGGGATCCATAAAAGACAGGCTTGATTCAAATTTTCAAAAAAGCCTGACTCTCTATCTCTAGAAAGTTTGCATAGCTATGGTATCTTGCCTCAAACTTTGAATTTGAAGCTCTTCCAATGCGTAAGGACACAATTGTCGTCTTAAATCTTCTTTTTATTGAAGCTCTTCTATGCGTACGGACAACAAAAAGCTATGTAGTACTATGGTTCCTATAATCTTATAAACTACTCATGATATGTTAAAATCTCGTATGGTTATCTTAAAAATTATTCGAACTCAAAAAGAGTGAATAATTTCTTATCTTTTCATGTTTATTATAATGCCTATTTTCATATCTTGGTAACTCCTAATTACTAAAATAATTGCAAGATCTTTTATGTAAAAAAAAAAAAAAATTAAATTTACTCATATTTAATAAGGTATCAAATTATATCTTTTCTCTTTTAGTACTTTCAAATTGGATTTCAAAATTATATTCACTTATAATCCATATTTTATTTCTTTGGTGGTGCACTTCAAATTCTCTTACTATTTTCTAATTCAAGTGACCTCGATATTTTTCATGGCTTGGATTTTATCTTGGCATGTATGTGGAAATATACTATTCCTTTGAGAACGCTTGGCTAACTATTATCCGAACCATACCCACGAAGGAGACTCTCCTTTTGCCCGGTACAGTTTGAATGTAATCTATCTATCTAAATCACTAATGATAAAATGGAAGCAAATTCTTTGAGCTTCTATCATATATAAATAGTATCCTAACTATAACCAAGAAGAAAAATCTCCTCTGAGAAATAGTTAATGGACTGTTGAATCATCCATAAGTATGGTAAATTAATAATCCTACTAGAGGAACGTGGCATTGAATCCCAAATAGAAACTTTTTCATGATTTACTAATAATATAAGTTCAAAAAAGGAAAAACAATCCGAGAAGGTGAGTTTGAATTCAAGAGACTTTAATTGCTTAGCAACTTGTTTTGTTTCCGAATTCTTATATACTTAGAAAAATATTTGGATAATTATGTATATTTTGTGTTAAAAAAAAACAATGAAAAATTAATATAGATTTTTAGACTATTTACCTTGTCGATAAAAAAAGAAAGAGGAAGAAAAAACAAAATTCATTTTTTTTAACTTGAACGAAAAAATCGTATAATATGTTTATTGTTAATTGTTTTTACCTGGACTAGGTGAAAGCTTATGTCATCTTTTTCACTCATGACACCTTTTACATGGTTAATTTAGATAAAGAGGTTTCGTTCTAATTAAAACATTTGAGACTACGAATTGCACTGATAATAGGAAAACACGAGGGAGAAGAAGCTGAAATATCGTGTTTAATTGTTTGATTTAAAAAATAGGGGCATCAACATTTCATGCTATTGAAGTGACACCCACATAATCACTCGTGGTCAAGGTTGAATTGCAAAGGCGGGATGAGAAAATGAAAGAGAACGAACTTTGGAAAACTAGACATCAAAGCTTATTGCTTTTTGCTTTTTGGCATCAGGGACGGCTATAAAGCGAAGTTCTTTTTTGCCTTTGGTTTTTAATCTGCTTTTAACTAGCCGTTGGTAGGCGGAAGTTGAAACTCAAATCAAAAGGAGTGAGAACCAATGAGCACATGAAAAAAGCTTTCAATAAGGCATGGAAAAGAGAGGCAGTGAAGCAGGAAATTTACGTTCAAAAGCTGACGACTCCCAACATTTCACATGGAATTAATGTTCCATTTGTGACTAAAGGCTTGCTGGTTGCTATTTTATGATCAATCATGTAGGTCCTCGTGTCCTCTCCCTATGTGTAGATAAACGATATATATATATATATATATATATATATAAAGGAGAGGTCAAGGAGAGGTCAATTGTAAAGGAATCAAATCGAATAATTAATTCTTGGTGCAATTGATGATGAAGCAAATAATAATAGCACAACTAATTATCCTGCTGGAGTTAGATGTATATGTGAGGCTGAGCAAATTGGGGAGGGGGGGGGGGGCGGGGAGTGAGACAATTCAGGTATTTAATGGGAGAGAGCAGCAATTACTGTACTTATATATCTACTCTTTAGTTCGTATGATACCTCTTATCGCTGATTAATTGCAGTGTGCTGGTGGTTGGAAATGTTTTTTCAAGGCCTCTCTTTGAAGGTGGTTTGTTTGATTAAATTCAAAGTAAATGGATTAATATGTACTTACATAATAGCATGAGTATTAGATATGTAATTGTATTTTTAATTATATTTATTATTTCATTAAATAATATTTAAATATTCAATCAGTCATTTCTATCATTTTATCAATAATAAGTAATTTTTTTAATCGAAATGTTCTTTATTCAAATACAAGAAGAAAAAAATTCTAAAAATTTAAAAAATAACTATATAAATGATGTTACTTTAAGTGGTTTTTTTATTTCAATAAAAAGTATTTACTTAAAAAAATTCATCAAAGACTGAAAAAATTAATTAAAAGAATATATTAAAGACTTAAATATTACTTAACGACATAATCAAAACAATTAAAAATAACAGATTAAAAACTCAAATTATTATATAAAGATAAATTCAACTATTTACCCTATATTTCATAGCCACCCTCGTAGCAATTGGCAAACCGATTGGTTTTCTGCCTTTGCCTCTATGTTTGATTGAAATGCTTTCTTTATAATGATAAAAAAAGGTAAAGAGGTTAGATGATTGGCTAAGTAGATTTCTATGATGCCCTAAACCCTTACCCTTAAGGCTTAATTTGGTGACATGATCAATGAAAGGGCACGACATTAGAGACAATGGGCAAACAAAACACACTGGAATTTTCTGCTTTTTCACAAAAACACAAGTCAAAAGGGTTAACATATCTACTCTGAAGCAGCTAACGAGAATTGAAGATGGTTAAATAATGTTGTTGGGTTAGGTAAGTTCCTACGCATAGAGAACGGTAAAAGGACTTTCTGTTGCTGCTACTTATCTTTTTCTATATCCCTCGAACGGCTATATCACCCAAATGGGTGTCAACTTTCTTACCTTTCAAATAATAGGTCAATTTCCCATATGGCCCTTAACTTCCGATCATGTTATAAAATTACCATTTTTGTGGCCCGTCCCCACTCCCATCCATGAGACCAAACACAACTCTTCTCCGGAAAGCCTTGAGGCCAAAGTAGGTGAAGACGACCAATTATAATTAAGAATTTCATCTTTAGATCAAAAGCAGGCTAGCGGTGGAATACCACAAAGAGAAAGGATTTTTAATTAAAAAAAAAAATTTTGTAATTAGAACATGTTTTGTTAAACCAACCATAAGAACCATATTTTCACTCTTTATCTAGAGAATAATCAACAATAACTTTCATTGAATGAATAATGGATTCAGATCCTAAGAATAATAATGCTTTCAAATCAATATGGGTAATCAAATGAAATACAACGGCTCGATAAGAGCCCATATCTAAAACTAATATCATATAATCTAATTGAGACATTGTAGAATAAGCTAAACCTCTATTAATATCTTTTTTGAGCAAAAGCTAAAATAGCTCATAATAATACTGTTATTGTATCTATCAAAGCTATTAGCTTCATTATGTAAAGTATAATTACGAATAGAGGAAGAAATTGAGCTACAAGAAAAATTCTTGCCGCTACTATCATTATTATTCTGAACCCTAATAATTATATATTTTATAACTTTTTTCAATGAAGTATATACTTTTATATAATGCAAGAGAGCTACGCTCCATTATATAGATCAAGAGACCTAATAGACTTTCTATTGAACCAACAAAATAAAATAAACACTACCACAATATTATGAATAACACTTGCTTTTTAAATGGACATTGGTGCTCGAAATAAGTCACAACAATGTTAGCAATTAATCAGATATAAAATAAGTATTTATTTGATCCAACTCGTAAATATCTATTAGGAATGTTCAATATATATGTATTAGAGCATGTATGAGTAACTAAGTAAAAGAGAGATTATTGCACATACATGATCTACCACCTAAGATTATAGACTGAGCCAATAAAAATTTTACACATCATTTTGTGGTGAATGAATTATTGATTATTTTATTTTATAACTATGAATGTGATATTATATATGAAAAAATTCACATTCTAAACATAATTTACTAAATAAATGATTTGGATCAATTTAATTATTTATAATAGTTCTACTGGATTGTTTCTGGTGACTTCATTTTATTTGATTACTATCATGTAATGAGATAAAGTTATCTTGTAGTTTGAGACTCAATATACCTTCTAATAAATAATAAATAAACACTAGTACAATATTGTAAAATAGCATTTGCTTTTTGTAACATCGATGGTTGGAGTGATCATGACAACTTAGCAATTAGCTGATTATAAAACAGATACCTATTCGATCCAACTTGACAAACATCCATTAAATATGTTTAACGAGTACTAGGACAGGTATGACTAAGAAAATACTTATAATTATGGTTTTTATATACGGATACCTACTTCATACTTGACTAATTCCACTGTTTTTTTTAAAGCTTGATGCATATAGTTAATTGTAAAATTTTTAATGTAAGGACTAGAGTGTTTTTTTCTAAAAAATACAATAAATAACAAAATCCAATTTTAGGATTTATCTATATATATATAAAATAAACTCGAGGATCAAAATAACTTTCCAAAAGTTGTAGGCGTAAAATGAAAATAGAATAAATTATTTATTGTTAGTATAAATGGGTATGAACACTATGTGTTCTTTGGGTATAGATTTGAAGAGTAATTTACTACTCCCTCTATCTTAAAAAAATTGTCTCGATTTTTATTTATATGTCTCAAAATGCTTGTCTAGTTAAAACTTTAAATAATATGCTTTCCTATAATACATTTAATTGATAAAGAAAATCAAAATTTTTTTTCTATTTCATATTCTTCACTAACAAAAAATCAATAGTCTTTGTATTTTGTTTTATACATACAAATACCATAAACATAAAAATTTCAAAGGAAATATTTTTGTTGCATCAACAATATTTATTGTTGTAGTGACTTAGCATGCTGAAATTTTGAGAGTAAAAAGATTTCTACTAGTATGTTACTTTTTTTCATAATTATTTTAAACTTGATCACTAATTAAATTAATGATTTTTTCTTTGATTTATCATTTTAATTTTAGATAGATTTTTTACTTATATTAATATTGATTATGTGCAACGTAAAATTAGATTCTGTAACTAAAAATTTTAATAAAAAATATTTGTACAAAAATATGAATAAAAAAATACTAATGTTGCATAAAAATTAATAATTTTTAAAATTGTAAAAAAGAAAAAAGTCAAAGAAAATGATGTATTTGGGACAGGGAGAGTAATTTTCATATACGACTATTGCTGTTCTTAGTCACGAAGCATACACGTGTAGAAGAAAACCAACTAAATCTTTATCTATTGTTAAAACCACTCGAATTTTAAATTTTGGCATGTTTTTAGTTATAACTATATTTGGTCCATTTGTATGGATTAGAATCCCTTTATACTTCTACGAGAATATTATTGTCGTGTTCATTAATTTTCTATTATTTTATTAAAATTGAATTATCATGATTTAATATACTATAAAAACATAAATAAATTAACTCGTTGCTATTATATTTCTTTTATCCATTTCAAGTTATCGAATTTAAAATATAATCAGTCATGTTTTTTTTTTTTTAATAATAAGAGAGGCTACTAAGTTGATTTTGATACCAATGAGTGGTGTTTATCTCAATCCTTTTCAGGTTAATTCAAAATCTTGCAACAAATTATGACCTAAACTACTACTTTTTTTTTTTTTAATGGTTCGCATTATTTAAAGTGTTGTTTGGTAATAAAGAATAAAATAATAAAAATATAAATGAAATTTTTATTCTCACTCTATAGGTGTTTGGTTGAAAAAAATAAAATAAGAACGAAAATAAAAAATGAGAATAATAATAAAAATTAAATATATATAGTTTCATTCTTATTGAAGAAGGTGGGAATAAAAATGATTTTTTTTTAAATAGCAATATATTATTTTTATCTATTATATTTTAATTATTTTTATCATCATCACTACCTCTACCTCCTCTACTAATATTGGCGATTTTAGTTTAAAAAATTCAAATTATTATTATTCCATCCCTATTCTCACTCTTCCTTTATCACCTTAATCATTTTTATGATACCATCAATACTCGCTTTCCATTACAAAGGTGTCAATTTTTTGAAAATATATTATTTATATTATTATGCTATTATCACTACTATCTCTCTTTTACTCGTTACCACTATCATAGTTATTTTTATTACTATAATAATTGATAAAATTATTTTTTTAATCATTATTTTTATTTGTATTAAATTTTATTATAATTTTTTATTATTAGTTTAAATAAAGCATGGGAATATAAATGTTTTTTTATTTCGTAATTTTCATTCAAATTTTTATATTTTTAGTTTATAATAACCAAACAATATTTTAAATAACTTATTCCAACTTTACTAGCTTGGAGAATTGCTATAAATATCAAAATCTCTCTCTCTCTCTTTTTTTTTTTTTTTTTTTTTTGTGGTGGTGGTTAAGTAATACGATTTCAATCCACCTCCACCAAACGAGTCCGGTCCTTGTTGATGGTTACATATATATTTATTTTCCTGGAGAAGAAAAGGAAGGTTGCATTGACAAGGAAAAGATTACCATCTGTAGGATGTCACTTGTTGGGCCTCCATAGGCTGCCACGAATGCTAAGACTAAAAGTAATGAAAATAAAATTTCAAATCAACCCCATGCATTAATTTGCTGGGCTTGAAAGAGCTCAAGCAAACCCAAATATTCAACGCTTTTAAAATCCTTCCTTTTTTTTTTTTTTTTATTTTCAACGCAAACCTAACCCACCTGTCCTATCAATTTCTATTTCCTTGCATAAAAGTTACAGGTGGGCAAATAAATGCTAAAATAATTGGATAAGCATTTCTAGTAATTGAATACTTGAGTGTATATGCGTTTCAAAAACAAAATCAAAAAGACAAAACCTGCCTGTATAAGTTTTTTAAAGCTTGAGTTTACCTCTCTTTTTATGAGGTTGTGACTAAAATACCATAAGTAAAGAATACGAACCGTATCAAGATAAGGTATTCATAAACAAACAAAAAAAGAAAAAATACAGTGGAACAAGGAGAGCAACCTGATCTAGATTATATATATATATATATTTATATAGTTTATGAAATGTCAATAGCCTAGTCATGTGATGCTGATACAATATTGTTTCTTCACGTCCCACCTGAATCCAAGACATAATCACACACATAGTATGTCAGTAGATCTGTTCTGCCAAAAGCAGTAAATCTAGGTAGGAGACTCTGAAAAAGCGTTATTAAGTTTTTTTCTTGAAATATATTCTGGTTAATTTTTCTATTAATCAAAACTAAATTATTAATTATTTTAATTTAAAAAATTTTGGATATGAAAGAGTGATAATATCGAATTACATGTGTCTATTATTTGTTTTTTATTCATTGTAGAGCAAGAATATAACTTGAACCAAAACCTTACTTCTTCAATTTTAAGAAAATATTATTATCATACTAATCTAGATCAAATAATAACGTTATATTCGTAATCAAAGTAGTATAAAATATGTTGTTATTAGATTAAATATTGTTAGCAAATAGAAACAAAATTAAAAAATAAAAAACAAAAGGATCATATTGATCAATAATTCAATAGTACAAGAATAGTTTACTCTCAATCATCTCTTGATCCTTCATTGTATAAAGTATTTAACTAGTGACAAAGTACGTATGAAGAAAGAAAGAAGGTATACGAATTCAAAAATGCATTTGGGCGAAACAAGCAGGGCAAAAATGTAATTTTAATCAGCATTGACATATCAGTCCCTCTACGGCCACCTGACCATATTATTTTAATATTATTTTGAACGTATCCTCTACTCAGCGACTGAGAGAGAAAGAAAGCCAAAAACAAAGAGAGACGTTAGCTTATGGCATGTGCTCCTTTGACAGTTACCTTTTGATCTTCAAAAATCAAATTTTGAAGTGAGACAAGCAGGATAGAAATATATTACAACAGACCCCCCCAAAAATAATCTGATCGATTCTCTTTCACTTCCTGTGGCAACCTTAAAATCATGACCCACATAAAAAACCCATGTATCTGCAGTAGTGACTAGCTAGTGAAAATATGTTTTTGGTGAATTTTACAAGAACTTGAGCTTTTGGTTTTCTAAAAAGTTTGTTTCTTTTTTGTTAAGAATGGAAACAATGGTGAAGAAGAGTTGTGGTGGTGGAGGGTTTGAGAAGAAGAGGAAAGATGGGTCTGAGTTACTGATCGAGTCTGGGACTGAGTCAAGAGAGAGTAGCAGCTCCAGTTCTGAGAGTAGTTCTACTGAGGTAATTAAGACTAATAATGGGGGTGCTTCACCATCTCCTTTGGGTTGGCCTATAAGGAAAGCGGGAGAGTGCAAGAGCTTGGTCTCTACTGGAAATAGAAGCGAAGAGAAGAAAGCGCATTTGGAGGATTCAAATTTCAAAAAGCTAGGTTCAGAGATTTCAGGTTGTTTAGGTGTTTTTTCTTTTTTCAGTTATAGATAGATGCCTCTGTGCTTGAAAATTTTCAAATTGCCTTTTTTTCTTTCTTCTTTCTTTTTCTTTTTTTTAACTTTTTGATTGTGGCATATGCCCACTTTATGATTATTTGTAAGCTGACTTTTGCTCCATTTTTTGGGGTTGGATTTTGTGTAGAGATTGATATGATGAAGGAGAGGTTTGCAAAATTGTTGCTTGGTGAAGATATGTCAGGGTCTGGGAAAGGGGTTTGTACAGCTTTGGCTATATCAAATGCCATTACCAATTTGTGTGGTATGATCTCTTTCTTTCTCAATCTGTGTTGTGTTTGTGGCAGCCTTGGTTCCCAGTTCTGCTGCTTCATTTTAATTTGATCTTGGTTATACAACATGTAGGTACTATTTTTGGGCAGCTTTGGAGATTAGAGCCGTTGCCTGCAGAGAAGAAATCAATGTGGAGAAGAGAGGTGGAGTTGCTTCTTTGTGTTGGAGATCACATTGTGGAATTAATACCCTCCCTGCAGACATTTCCTGATGGTAATAAGCTCGAGGTAATTCTAATTAAACAAGTTGGAAATGTACAATGGTAATTTGCTTACAAGGTCAAGGAAAAGAATAAGAATCTTAGAACAGAGCTTAATTAACCAATTTGGCTGTTGGATTTGAGTCTCTCTGGTATTCTGATGCTAAATCAACATAACATGACTGTACGGTATTCTTCCCCTCCCCAATCTGTGTACATAAATATTCCTTAACTAGATAACCGATCCTTTAACTGTATACTGTTTTTAGCCTTAACTTTATCCTAGGATGTTATTCAATTTGTCATTTCCTTACCCTTTTCAGTCATTACCAAGTGAAGAAAGCTTAAGCTAGTTGAAAATTTTACTTAATTTGATCTATTTGGTTCGATTTCTTAGAATGATCATCCCACATTTTAGGGTACAATCCCCTTGAAAGAGACAAGTGAGATTCATTCATTATAAATCAACTTATTTTTCCTTTTCTTTTGTTTGTTTCTCAATGTAATTAGTTTCTGCATTTCACAGGTCATGACTTGCAGGCCTAGGTCCGATCTTTCTATCAATCTACCAGCTCTTCGTAAACTAGACAATATGCTTCTTGTAAGATTTAGCCTTGTTTCATTTTTCCTTTTTTTTCATACCTGATTATTTTGGAATCATTAGTCTGTCCCCTTCAATGACAGGAAGTTTTAGATAGTTTCACAGACACAGAGTTTTGGTATGTTGATCAAGGGATTGTAGCCCCAGATGGAGATGGGTCAGCCTCTTTCCGTAAAACAATGCAGAGGCAAGAAGAAAAATGGTGGCTACCCGTCCCCCGTGTCCCAGCTGGTGGTCTCAGTGATGATACAAGAAAGCAGTTGAATCACACGCGTGAATGCACCAATCAAATACTGAAAGCTGCAATGGCAATCAACAGTGTTGCTTTAGCTGAAATGGATGTTCCTGACTCGTACTTGGAAGCTCTTCCAAAGGTAAAATCTGGCAATGCAACAGATTTTTCTGTTACGTTCCTGTGTCAAACTTTGCTTTATTTTCTTCTTCTTGTTATGTGATGGATTCAACACTGCTTCACAATTTTCTCAAGATTTCTTAATTATGCTCAACCTTTTTGTATTGACTTGATGCCGACGATGCAAAAATATTTATGTTTCTTCCTAATATTTTAGGCAGTTTCTAGTTTATCGTGATACTTGCATGTGATTAAATGTAAATGAAATGCATTTCATGAATCTTCTGATTAGGCATAATAACTTCTCATGATTTGCGTATATTTTTCTCTGTAATTAAGGGTATGTGACAGTCAGTCGTTAATTTATTTTCAGAATGGGAGGGCTTGTTTAGGGGACCTTGTGCACCGGTATATTACTTCAGACCAGTTCTCTGCAGAGTGCCTGCTCGATTGCCTTGACCTGTCATCTGAACATGTTGCTCTAGAGGTTGCAAACCGTGTGGAATCGGCAGTTTATGTATGGCGTCGGAGAGCTCATTCAAGACCTCCACCCAATCCAAACCGCTCCACTACAAAGTCATCATGGGAGATGGTCAAGGACTTGATGATTGATGGAGATAAGAGGGAATTGCTTGCAGAAAGAGCTGAAAGTCTCCTGCTTTCCTTGAAGCAGCGGTTCCCTACTCTAACACAGACCACCTTGGATACCAGTAAAATCCAATTCAACAAGGTTCGCTCTCTCTCTTCCTCCATTATTTACTCCAACTCCCCCTCTTTTTTCTGTTTCCTGAATTCTTATATCACTTGTTATTGAACTTTCAGGATGTTGGGAAATCAATTCTCGAGAGCTATTCAAGAGTTCTGGAAAGCTTGGCATTTAATATTGTGGCTCGTATCGATGACTTGGTGTACGTGGATGACTTGACTAAACATTCGGACAAATTGTCTTCAGTTCCCACAGTCAGTGTGATTTCTCACAAGAAGGTTTCAATTCCCTACTCTCTGCCTGTCTCAGGCACTCCATACAAAACAACATTCAGTACACCTAGCTTTTCACCTGTGCCGCTTATTAGTCCTGCACGGGGAGAGAGAACTCCATTCCTGCACAATATCACCACCTCCAACAACAACAAGCCTCAACGTCGTGGTTTTGGTGTGAAGAGAGTGCTGACAAACTATCTTGGGGTTGATTCAAAACCAAAGATCTGTGGTAATACAAATGAAGGATCGTGTCAAAATCCAAAGACAAATGTAAGAGAGGATTCGGGGCCGGAAAAGAACTCACCGACCCAAAAAAATGGGACCAAATTGCGTCAAAGTGCTCCCAAATACATTGTAACTTGACGGGGGATGCATCGAGAATAATTGCTGGACAAGGAAAATTGAAATATAGTTTGAGAATTAGGTTATTCGTGCTGGAAAGCCTCTGATTGTAACCAATATTTATTGTTTTTTACGAATTTAATCTTCTTGTCTTTAAGTTGTTGGTGTTACTGTTTATACCTTGTATTTAAAGCCAAAAAAAAAATATTTTTATATTTTGTTTTCTTTCCTTGTATCTGGACTACTGAGCTGAGTGCGGATGGAAAATTGGCTTTGACATAGCTACAGTATTCCGATAGATGAGATGTTCCCAGCCACGGACATGAAAAAACAATTGTGTTGTACTCACAAAGGGGCATTCCGAGAATTGAACTCGGGACCTCTCGCACCCTAAGCGAGAATCATACCACTAGACCAAATGCCCATTTAGCGGTGAACTTGCCAATTTTTTTGCTATGAATTTTGGATACAAATCTCATGTTTCTACAGAGTTTTGCAAACGTGAGAATTTTCTTATTAAAACTGATGAGATTTGTTTTGTGAAAAAAAACTATTACAATGATTTTCTTATGCTTCGCCATATTCAATCTTAAGATTAATTTATTTCAATGGCATCCATCCATGAATTGTAAGCAATAGAAGAAGGCTAAACATACTGTAAAAAGAGAAAAACAATACTCCATAAACTTTTTAAACATTATATTTATTTTTTCCTCCCAATTGAAGGACTGTAATTGATTAAAATTAAAGGCCGGAAAAGAGGCATTCTAGAAATAGCATATTACATATTTGTGAGGAAGAGTACGATACCCAGCACAACCTATTATTATGGTAGTAGCTGGTGGGCAGGTTTTGTGACGGTGGCCTGTGGTTTTGATCCGTTTTCTAGTGTTGGTAATTTAATTGTATTCTTGTGAAGGTGGCCTGGGTTTGTTAAAGACTTCTTGCCTTTTCTTTTTCAGTTCTGCCCCACCTAGGTAAGAGCTGGTTCGGCGGTGATGGGTTTGTTTCCTAGGAGATGGCGATTATGGTAGGTGGCGTGGATCTGTTTTGTGGAGGAAACAGTGGTCGATGGAGACCGAGGGCTGTTGGGTCCATTTAAAGGCGGTGGAGGGAGATAGACGGCTGTGGAGAAATTTTATTATACATAAATGAGTAATTAATAGTATGCGAAGTAATTATTTTATTGATTTATTTTAAAAAGAGAGGTAGAAAAAAAAAAAGAGAAACAAATATTTTTTTAAAAAAATTAAGCCAATTTGAAATTTTTTTAATGTCTTTTAATGGATTCGAGTGTAATTCAATTTGTCAATCTCTCTCCTCAAAATAGATCAATGGAATAATTATTCTACCGTACATATCACTAATTATTCTTTGCGTATTATAAAATTTCTTGATAGCTGTGGATGATTGGTCCAGGGGTTTTTTTTTTTTTTTTTCCGAATTGGCATGTGTTTGGTAAAAAATCCATAAGCATGCAGTTAACTTACTCATTGGTATAAAATTAACGAAATTATTAAAATTTAAAAAATATAAATTAGTAGACTCAAAGATTAAAATTTATACATTTAAATAAAAAAATTAACAAGTTTTAATACCAAAAATATAATTAACTCCTTTTGTTTTATTTTAAATTAAAACTTACCAGGTGTAGTTATTTATATTTGCAAATAAATTTCAATAAAAAGAGATATTCCGTAACTGTCACTCTCTTTATCATAATAACTTTATTTTTTATTTTATTGTACTAGTGGATTTAATAATATTAAATTGTCATTGAAATTTTAAAAATATGTTATTTTTATTTCATAGAGTACGAAGAAATAAATCATGTTTTACATGATTTTTTTTTTAATCAAGACTAGAGTAATATTAAAGATACTACTCCCATGAAGTTTTGGTGGGAGATCAATTTAAATAATCTAAGAAAATGGATGATTTTTCTTAAAAATCAATGGCAGCTTTGCCATGAGCTGATTAAAAGTTTTTGTCTTCAAAGAGAGAAACTTGACAGTGCTCACAGCCTTATCTAGTTTTTATGTTTTGCAGATATTTAATTTGGTTTTCTAAAGAAGAGAAAGGCAACATAAACTGAATCTTTGTTCCTATTTTAATTCAAGTTTTATATTAGAAAATTATACAATAAAATTCTAAGTCTTAATTTAAATTATAAGGATAGGATTTAACAAATACTCTTTATGATTTCAAAAAAATTGTTTTTTTATTATTTATATTTATTTTAAAATGTTTGTGTGGTAAAAGTCTCTAATACAATTTTTTTTTATAAAAAAATATCATTAATTTGTAGTGCAAGATTAAATTAAATTGATTTTCTCTTTAAATAAAAAATATTTTAAGAAAGAAATATTAAAAAAATACTGATATGATATTATAATTGATAAATTTTTTAAACTATGCAAAAAGTTAAAAAAAAAAAAACTATTATTTCGTGATGGATAGAATATAATAAATTGGGTTTAAGGAACATAAAAATTGTTTGTCAGGATTTAGGAACAAGCAATAAATAAATTTTGCAAGAAAGTTAAGCTCAATCCTAAACCAAATGAAATGCTCATTTTTTTTCAAAAAAATTTCCTTCCTATCCAACACATGCAATTATTGACAGCCATGAATTGGATAACATTTATCATTCTTACAAATATAATATAAAAAAGCAAATGCTTATTTATAATAAAAAGATAAGTTTCCTTATAAAGAAACGATTTTAGTTCACCAAATATAAAAAGTAATCAATACTATATACATGATAATTTGAGATATCGTGATGTGTTGTAAGGTGGGATGAATTCAGCAGCGATAAATGTTTTTTTACCTGTTTTTAGAAGGATTTCGTCAAGGCTTGGTTTTCATTAAGTAGGGAACGAGTTGAGGACATAAAGCACATATAATTAATATAAAATGCATCACGTTTTCAATAATGTCGTTGTAGTATAGTGGTAAGTATTCCCGCCTGTCACGCGGGTGACCCGGGTTCGATCCCCGGCAACGGCGTTATTTTTATTTTTTTGTCTTCCTTTATTTACTCTTTGCCCTTTCCAAAGATTCTTACTTACGCCGTTACGCTTCAGGTAAAGTCCAAAAAACCGTCCGCCTTGTCCAAACAAATCTCTTCACTCACACTCTTCCTCCACTTTTTCGCAGCTTCCTTCTCCATTTCCTTCCGAAAAAAAAAAAAAAAGAAAGAAAAAAGCACAAAAACCAGAAACAAAAGAACCCCGATCAATCACTCCAGGAAAGCACAGCATTTCCCCAGTTTTATCAAACCACCCCTCTTCGCCGTCCGATCTCTCAATTACAAATCCCAATGACAACCAGCATCCACATCACCGCCTTAGACGGAATCGTCAATGTGAATTCCCTCTTCACACTCGCCGTCTTCGTTGGCCTAGCTTGGAACCCAACTGACCCCACCGACACTCTTATTGGTTCCACTGACCCAACCTCCTGCTCTCCAAACCCCAAAATTGCTGAAGATATGATCGCCTTCCACGTTTACTCACTCAGCTCCTTTCTCTTCTCTAGCTTGATAGCTCTCGCTCTTAAACAAGCAATCAGGATCGCCAAAACATCGAATCACAATCACGGCCATTATTTGCAGGCGGCGGAGCTTTTGTTAGCACAGGTGAATAAGAATTTGGTTCGGGTTGGGATGTTGGTTTCAGGTATTGGGTCGGTTTGTGGGTGCGTGTTCTTGATGTTGGCGCTTGTTAATGTTGTTCAGTTAAAGCTTGGGAGTTTGGGTTGTGGAAGCGGACATAGTTATGCTGCTATTGTTCCTCTTGTTATTTTGGTTCCTGTTGCTCTTTTATGTTATGTTTCAGTTGTTTTGTACGCTTTTACTCGCTAGTAAGTTAATATAGTATCTGATTCTGTATGATATGTTTCAGAGGGTAATTGTAACGAATGAAGTGAAAAATGGAAGTGTTTTCTTCCATTTGTAGGTCTCCGATGTGTAATTCAAGTGCACGTTGGTTTTTATTGATGGACTTGGGAAGTGATTTGAGTATGATTTGTGACTTGTCTTATGTAGGCTTAAATTGTTTGTAGAGTAAAGCTATTTATTTTGGAATATCCATGATGAATCAGTTTAGTTTGCTCGATGATATCAACTATTTATTTGGAAAACTAGTTCAGAATGGATTTTTCGAGATGGATAGGGTTTGGTGTATCATGCGTGTGATATCAAGGAGGGTATCTTTTTTATGTTTAATTTGACATGGTTTAACGTGGTCGGTTTGACTGATGATAGATGCGATAAAAATGGTGGGAAATGATTTGGACTTTGGAGTTGTTTTATTCTTGTTTTTTCGGCAGAGGGAGGCTTAATGATGGTGAGATAGACTTGATGAATTTGTAATCTTGGGTTGAGTTACGAGTAGAATTAAGGAGAGGTGGGATCATGCTTCCACTTATATAGTTGTTGATTTCCTATTAGGTTAGTTCTTAAAAAAAAAATCCAATGATGAGGGATGAGCACGCGTGCAAGAAAGTCGAGGAGGAGGAATTATGTTGCAACAAGAAAGGGGAAGGATGCATGTATGCGTTAGACTCTTGGCTTTTGAAGTAATGGATTACAATACAGGCGCTAGTTAAAATGGAAATGGCAATATGCTATTAAAGGTCCAGAGGAGCATTAAAACTGTTCATTGAGCATAGATGATCAAGAGTGTAAAACTTAAAAGAGGTTTTTTTTTTTTTTTTTTTTTTCCTGTCTAGTGTCTGCATATATCCAGTTTGCATTGACTATTGATTCTGTTTGTCCCGTGGGAGTGTTCTAATCGGTGTTCACATCCTGTACTCTGTTACCTTACCGAAGCAGGCTATCTTAATTTTAGCATTTTCGATAGTTGTTGGGGTGATGCATAGGAGAAAATTTATTGGAGGCAACTGAAAAATAGAAATTGCTGCTCTAGACATAGGAAACCTCAAGGTGGCTCTCTCTCTCTCTGAATATATTCCTTCCGTATCCCAATTCCATTCATTTAGCCTTAACGCGCATTTTGAGGAGAACCGACTAGCTCTGGTTTCGTGTGGCATTTCACCTCTAACCCCATCCTTCTTTTTCCTTTTTACGTCCCCATGTCGCGCGCGGGAGGGACACAGGGGCGTGAAAAAGGGGATGATCCTAGAACGTGTCAAACTCCAGTTAAGTTGATGTAAAACTTTTATACCAACTGTTAGAAATACATGATGCTTTCTGTTATAGGAGGTGGCTTAATGAATGAGCAGAAGTAAAGGAACTAAACTTTCTAATTATTTTTTTCAGTTTTTTCAAAAAGGGTTCAAAAAGGGGAAGCCATTTTCGGATGAGGCTGTGAGTTCAGCTGTTTGATTGATGTTTGCATAGAGAGAAGATGGAAACGATTTGATTACCCTTTATCTTTCCTTATAATTTTTTCCCTACGTGGAGGATCAATGCATTTTGTTTCTCCTCTGTCTAGAGCTCAAAGTTGCCTTAGATTATGAAACTGACGCTGGATTCTTGATGTGGTCAGTGACTATAATTGCAGGACAAAAATTGACGACTGGCGTCCTGTGTGTTTTATTGTTCCTATTTCTCAATCAGAATGAATACCCACGACATGTTCTGGTGAAAAGGTCAGTGGGTGCAATGGATCATATTTTTCTACAATTGATGTGTTCTGGTAAGCTACTCTTGGTCATGTGGCGCCTTACACTACCTCTTGCTTCAGAGCACTTGGAGAACTCAAGAGCCTTTCACACTGCTGTGAAAATTAGGGGGCTTAAGAAACATTGGTGATATCTTTTGTAGATTTGAGTGCACTGCTGTGGTGTCAATTGTTCATGAAAAGCTCTCATTTGCCCCTTCGAGAACAAAAGAGCAATGAAATGGTTCCAAAGACTTTTAAGGAGCACTTGCTGTCATTGGCTTAAAATAGCCACGTAATTTGGAATCCAATGTGGAAGGAGTAGGTATTGTAATAAACAAAATGATATCTTATAGTGCTACTTCCACTATGATTTACGGGATTCACGCGTAAGCACATTTCAGCTACTAGTTTCAGTATAAAATCCTGTGAGGTAGAGCATTGATTGTGCACTGCATTGAAGAAATGGCAACTCCAATGAAATACATTTGCTTTGTTATGTTTCTTGCACTTCTCAGCATTCCTGGGTTCAATCAAGTTGACGGGGCTGGTGAATGTGGAAAGAACACAACTCCTGACAGGGAGGCTTTCAAGCTGGCTCCTTGTGCATCAGCAGCTCAAGATGAGACAGCTTCAGTTTCCAGCCAGTGCTGTGCTCAGGTGAAGAAAATTGGACAGAATCCAGCCTGCCTATGCGCCGTTATGCTTTCTAACACGGCCAAGAGCTCTGGAATCAAGGCTGAAATTGCAATCACCATCCCCAAACGATGCAACATTGCTGATCGTCCTGTGGGCTACAAGTGTGGAGGTAGGTCCACAAAGTCAATCTCCCTTTCAAGTCTGCTATATTCCTTCCTTCCCAACCCACCCACCCCACCCCCCCCCCCCCTCCCCTTTTTTTTTCTTTCACTGTCAGTATGATTGTTTAGTGATTTTGTATCTGTTTAAATTTGCTTCTCTCTTGCAGCTTATACTTTGCCTTGAAGAGTGAAGATCGTGAACTGTACTCACCCTGTACCTATAATGTACCCGCCTCCTGGAGTTCACATCCTTGTTGCTAGTTCTTGTAGCTAACAAATGTAGTGTAACATCCAGACATCTGAATAATAAATAAACTGTTGGTGATATCTCATTTGGCCCGACGGATTGCATTTTGTTTTTCTTTTTTCTTTTATTGTTCACAGCAAATTCACTTTCTTTCTAATGCAGAGTAGTCCACCACCCACCGCCAAACCAGCCCGGCATATTAGAATGATCATAAAACTAAAAGTACAAAAGTCAAGCCATTATGAATATGACTGGAAGTTCCCTTAGTGTTTAGCTTCAGTAGTTTTAACTCGCATTGGCTGGCATAAATGTAGAAGAGGGAACTCCTCTGCTAAAACGGGCTTGAATATCATGGAAAGAAGAGCACGGGCCTCAAATCTAGTGCTTTATATTTGACTTGCAGACACTGTGGATTAACGAAAAACATTCTGCTAAAAACAACCTTTAAAACTAATAATGAGCGGCCATTAGATGTCTGTGCTGATTGAGATACCCGATTCAAGAGATAAAGACAAGTCTGTTCGATCCATATGTTTATTAATTGACAAGGCAGGGAAAATCATGATCTAATCATGTTTCTACTGTTTCCAGTTGTGAATAGGAGTAGTTCTAGTTGATTTAAGTAACTAATTCTCCATTTATACTTGCTGAAATTAATTATTCTGTCACAGCAGAAGCTATAATCTGGCAAAAGCTTGAATTTGAAAACTGAGAGTTTTGAGGAAGAGAATAAGTGACAGTCCATAGGCAAAGTAGAATAATATTTAGTTCATGACTGGAATACATGATGGATTTGGTTAGTATACAAGATTCTGTAAGGAGGGAAACTCCTACAGCAAATATATCACCTCATGCGTACGACTAGTTGGGACAAAAAGAACCCAACAGTGTGCCGCTTGGTCCTGCCATATCTGTACTAGTCTATACTAATCTTTACTGATTTCTTAGCTCCATAGTCTATATTGAGGGAGCTCACACTCATAATTCCTGCATCACAATAAACAAACACCATTTTAGTCATCTGAACGATGCAAAAGGCAAAGAAGAAGAATAAAATGCATATCTGTGCAAAGAAGAGAGATGCAACAAATATGCATATTACCAAGTAATTTTATAGTGGCAATTTTCTGATGCCTTGAAGCGTTTTCTTGTTCCTCATACAGGCCTTTTCTTTTTCAGAAATCAAGAACGACTCTTATATGCTCGCAATTGGTTACAAAAGTGTTTAAATGGATGCACAATAGATCCACTAATTTTGCGCACCTTAGTTTGACGTAGGTGCGGCGTTTGCATAAATCCCTAATAATAGAGCGAGCCTGCAAAAATGCATAGAATCAAAATATTGAAACTGTCATAAACATCCTGGACACTCGTATTTTGTTTTAATTCATCGAAAGCCCATGGGCCTTTGGACTACACAATGGGATAGCCATTTCCATTACATAATTATTAAAGAAATTTGGAGTATCTAGACTCGAAGCTAACCGGACAAGCTTGTTATGTTAATGAAACTTATTTACAACTATAACGCTATCATACCCTGCCACCAGTTCCCCCTCGAAGCGCTGTTTGAATCGTTTCCATTGGGGTCATCCTCTCCATCATCTTTCTTGAACTGTTCAAGGGGAAAAAAATAGGAAAAAGGAAAAAGTCAACTATGACTTCAACAACTTGAAAAAGTAAAATAAAATCAAGCCATCATGTTCCATCATTTTGATGCATCTTATGATGCGTGATCAGGATTGGCTGAAATAATCTTAACTTCCACACAAGTATTACTTTATTGACAAATGTCAAATTCACTACTCACTACTTGTTGAGATTCTGAGTTCTTGGTCCTTGGAGAATAGTTTTCTTGGCCACCATAGTAGATTGACGAGCTGAAGTAGCATGGTTCTGGTGTTTCATTCTGATAAATTGAACTCTTGCCTTTGCTGCTGCTCTCTCCCTTGCCTTTGTGAGTAACAGTATCTGAAAACAACCCAAAAATGTAAAGCATACATAACAAGCCTAGAGCACTGATCAGAGAATAACGTAGCAATTAACGGTTGAACATTATTTCTGTTCATAATACAACTTGCATGATTCCCAAAAAAAAGCCTTGGTTATACACTTAAAAAGAGCAATAATTGTGCAATATAAATAATATTGGAAGCCTATCTTAGGACCCTACAAGAGATAAGGATATCTGGCCAAAGTAACTAGGGATAAGAATGTTCATTAGAGGTCAAACACAAGCTGTTTCTACTCTAGCAACAAAAATGTTGATCACATACCTGGATTCACATATTTTCCACTCCCACCATGATTTCCCATATTTCCAGAGTCCTTTCCTGCTGGCACCTGAAATTGGAACAGTTAGAAGAGGAAAAATTTCATTACTTTCTACAAGGACAACAAAAACTAGAATGTTCTCTTTCTGATTCTTAAATCAAATTTATACTATCTATCAAAGCGCCTAACATATAGCAGCGGCACACACAGGAGTTCAGTTGTGTATGAACAACTACTACCCCTTCCAAAGCTAATAATTATTCCAAAGGGGTTTCTTCCTTCTATTCTATTTTATATCTTTTGCTTATCATCCCTTCATTTTCTTATTATATTAATCTTATTTGCTTTGCTAACCCCTACTAAATATGGTTACAAAAACCAGGAGAACCAAGGAAAGCTATCGTTTTAGTTTGTCATTACTGATTGTTGAGGGCAAAAACCCCCCATGATATATAGTACTAGGTCACACATGCATAAAAGTCCAGCAAATTAAACAAGGTCTACAGTACGTACCTTCGATGGAGGAGGGAAAATGGAGCCAAATATCGCACTTGAGGTGGATGATGAAGAGGAAGAGTCTTTAGGACCAAAAAGATGATCAAAAGAAGAAGCACCGACTTGCCTTTTGTTTTCCATGCTAAGATAGATTTTTTTAACCTTTCTTTGTCAACCAACGAACAAAACTACTCTTTAATGGATGACTAAAATAACGACCACACTGAACCCAAAAGACACCAAACAAAAAAGAGGGAGCAAACCTAACTGACCCCAAAAGGGACACTCAAGCAAACAACACAGAGAGGCAGCACTAGTGGTAGATAAGGTTTGCAGTTGCAGAGTGAAAAACAAAGGAAGAAAGAACCAAGCAGATAAAGAAAAACTTGAAAGGCGAATGTCAAGCACGTGATGAAGATTTGCAGTTGTGGAGATATAATGCAAACGGTCTGTGCTATTTATAAGCCCAAAAAGACGGTGATTAGGGATGCTCCTGCTGCTGCTGCTGCAATCCCATGTGCCCCAATTTAATTCTCTTCGCTCTTCTTGACACATGGGGTGCATCCGTTGTGTACAAGTGGACATGTTGCCAGCTCCAACCCCTTTATGACACGTGTCTTCCATGCCATATCTTTGACTGCCTTTTTCCTGTTATTTTCGGGCATGAAGATAAACGGATAAGGTCGTTGGACCAACTTGGCCTCATAGGATATGCTTCCAAACAGTTGACCCTCCTTCAACCAAAAATTTATATTTATTTTTCTCTGAAACTAAATAAGAAGATATACCAATATTCCATGCATTGAAGGTATTAATTATGGACATCTTCCTTCCCTGCAAAGTCTACCTAGGTCCAGTGACGAATATATGTTTTGTTCCTAAGAATGTTTCTGTGATTGTGTGGGTAATATTGAAGTGCTCGTGGCAGGTAGGTGGTTGAACTCGGTCATCTCACCGATTTTATTTGATAAACATTATATTCGGAATCATTACCTTAGGACACCTTAATTAGCATTTTTTTATCAGATGTTTTACCCAAAGAAATCTCAAGTACTTGGGAGTTTATCTTATCTTCAAACAAATTAATACAGTCTGCATATATATGCAATATTAATTTTTGTGCACTAATATCCCATAATAATTAATGGACAAGAGGATTCCACAAGATCATGATGATGTTATGAATAAAGAAAGGTAGGGAAGGATAAAGTAGCGTAGGCGAGAGACAGCAGAGATTAGCTCCTGCTTTTATTACTGTTGCCAAATTAGCATACGTGTTTATATATACGCGTAGCTTCATGGTTGGTACAATTGCATGCTCATTTAAATGTTTATCTCGGATTCAAGATAACAATAATGCTAATTATCTTGGATTTGATTAATAATTTTTTTGGCATTTTCCATATGGACAATAACATTTGTTTTTGTAGTATTATAGTTGCTAGATAGCCATACAATTTTCGAGATAAAGGAGATCTCACAAAGAAGATGATAAATTCCATGTCTAGTCCAAAGTAAGAATAATATATATGGAGTATTATTGCTCAAAGCATCAACACAAAGCATTGTTTAATTAAAGACATTGAAAATACTTAGCTATGAATTTATTTGCTCCAAAAACACCGGCCCTGTAAAAGAGATCCTTGATTGATTGGCTAGTAATGGCTCATGGACGTTAATCTGAGAGTGTCATGCGTGGATTCATTAAATAAATTCTCGAGCTTTCAAGGTCGAGGATAAATTAAGGAAGATACAATTGGTGTGCGCTGATGATACGGTATTTATAAGATATCATTCTTTTTTATGTTCCTTTCGGATGGCAGAGGATAAGTTCGCGTAAAGGCCATCAACTTTAATGAAGCGTGACATAACTCGTAAGAGTTTTCTAGGCCTAGTCTCTATAATTGGGGCCGGTTTCGTGATATATATATATATATATATATATATAACTCATCTGCGTTTTTTACTTCTCTATAATTTTGAATGCTAATTAAACGGGCCTAAGCCCAGGAAAAACGCCAACTATATGTTATTGAGTAAGAAAAATGAGTTTACTTTTCTAAATAAATTAATAATAATAAATAAAATAAAATTAAAGAAAATTACTTTAAAAGAATTCTTATATATGTTGCTAGATGGTGCAGGTCCTAGCGCGAATTGGCTCACAAGGATATCCCTTGTTGACAAAGGAAAAAAAATGTAGCAAATTATTCCTTTAACTTAATTTTCGTGTCGACCGGAAATTCCTCACAATTTGCAAAATGGCGAGAATATGTTCTCTTTCAATAAAAAAAGAAGGAAGCTAGATGAAATGTCAATGGGTGCTTGATCTTGAGTGACCCTTTGACAGCAAGGGTTTTTAGTTATTTAATTTTTTTATTTTTTGGTTTTTGGAGTTTTTTTTTTTAAATTGCAAAAATTATTTGATGGAATTCTAAAATCTATTTTAAAAGATAAAAATTAGAAGTATTATAATACAATTATTGAATTTTTAAGTCTTATTCAATATAAAAATATTTTAACAATATATATATAACTGCAACAACTACAGTTAGAATCACAACAAAAATAAAAAATTTCCCAAACAGACCTTCAGTTACATCATTGAGCATTAAATAGTTGGTCAGATCCCACACAAAGAAATCAAGGTGTAGTTCGATATATTTTCTTGAACCAGTGTTTGAGACGAAAGGAAAAAAAATTCTAAATTCGTTGCTGATCAAATTAGGCTGCCAATTTCTAGAAGATGTCGAATCTGGTAAATTTTGATTTCAAGCTTTTTAATTTGCAATGTGTCAATACTGTGGATCCCTGAGAGGGCAACTAGTCAAATTGTAAGTATATTCCAGCTTTTATTGATTCTGGAATATAAACCAAATTACTTTCGTATGGCTAGCTTTGACGAACGTGATTTGCAATTTCTGTGTTCTATAAATTTCGTCGCGTTAACTTTTGTGATTGGTTACCAGAATAAGAAAGTCGAGAGCTAATAGAAGCTTTGGATGAAAAATTATTTCATTGATTAAACTATTACTACAGATGTTACGGATGATAATTATCAGTATTTATATCGTATAAAATGCTATAAACTAAACCATATTAATTTAGTAACTAACTAACTAATTCACCTGGCTCACAATTGACTATTGACCTATAACGCGCCACATAGCACAACTCCACAACTCTATTTTATATTTTGATACTCTCCTTTAAGATGAGTATGAATATTATTTAGATTTATCTTGTCAAGCAAATTGTGAAAAACCCTAGACTCGTAAAGCCTTTATAAAAAACAGCAAGCTATTGATCGAGTAATCGGATAATGAGGTTGAATGAGACCAATAATGACTTTTTCTCCGATAAAATGACAATCCACCTCAATGTGTTTGATCGTCTCGTGATATACTAAATTCTTACGGATGTGTAAAGTGGATTAGTTATCACAAAATAATTGAATTGGCTTAGAATGTGTGGACTTCGGACATTGTAATAAGAATAGGAGTCACGTGATTTCACATGTAACGGTTGTCATAACTCTATATTATGTCTTTGTGCTACTTTGTAAACTAGACTTTGCTTCTAGACTTCCAGCTGACCAAGGAAGTTTATAAAAATATGTAAAAACTAAAAATCGATGTTCTAATTTGAGAACATCTAGCTTAGTCACTATTTAAGAATGATTATAATTGAAGTGCTAACTTGATTAGAAACAATAATCCTTGTCTTGGTGCACCTTCCAACAATGAAGCACCCTATGAGCACACTTCAAATACACCAATGTTGTTTTGTCCATAAATTGGACAAGAACTTGCATTGCATAACAAATATCAAGTCTAATAAAAGTCAAGTACAAAAGTTTTTCCACTAGTTGCCTAAATTCAGTAGAGCCGGTAAGAAGATTCCATGAAATATGCAATAACTTATGTTTAGGGTGCATAGGAGCGAGAGGTAAGTTTTATCAAAGAACTATCTCAACCCAAAAGTTTAAGCTATTGAGTGAGGCTCCATGAATGATTTTATATTACTTAATACACTCCTTCAAGTGAGAATCTTTTGGTCTTGAAACTTACACAAGCATAGACCCATTACTACCTTGTGCTTAATTATTTAATCGAAGAGAAAGTAGAAGTGGTGCAATTCAAACTCATAATCGTTTTGTCATCAAGGTTCCGATGCCATGTTAAAGAATCATCTCAACCTAAAAGTTTAAGCTATTGAGTGAGACTTTAGGAATGGTTTTATATTACTTTAACAAGTTTGGAGTTAGAGAAGCCATACTCATTCAACAAATCTAAAACATAATTTCATTGACAGATTATAATCCTTTGCTATGATCTAGCCACTTCAATGTCTAAAAAATATTTAAGTTGACCAAGATCTTAAGTTTAAATTTCATGCTGAGAAACTTCTTAAGATCAGTTATATTAATAGTAGAACTACTAGTAATTACAATGTCATTCATATAAAACAATAGGGCAAGAAAATTCTATGAAGAAGTATGCTTTATGAACAAAGAAAAATTTGCCTTGAATTGCTAAAAACATATTCAACCAAAGCTACAATCAATTTTGCATTCTACTAGCTCGAAGTTTATTTCAAACTATATAAGGGCTTATCCAATTTACAAGCTAGTTTATGTAAAATGTCCACATACTCCCCCCTATATTGATAACTAGGTGGAGGATCCATAAACATTGTTTCATATTGTAGATCACCATGCAAGAAAGCATTGTTGATGTCTAGTTAAGAAAAAAATAATGCAAGAAAGCATTGTTGATGTCCAATTGAGAAAAAAAAACAACCTTGAACGACGACCAAAGTTAGGAACAATATGACCGATGTATGCTTGATAACATGATTGAAAGTCTCTTTATAACCAAACCTTTCAAATTGACTATACCCTTTAGCTACATTACTTGCCTTCTATTTTTCAATGTTACCACCAATCTTAATTTTAACTTCATAAACCCATTTATATTATATTGTATAATGAACTACATGTAATGGAGCTAATAGTTTCTTTCCGAGTGATCAAATTTCATAACTTGTGAATAAATTTGAGGTTCGAATGTATACGATAAAAAAATAATGAATGCAGTATGAGAAGAAAAAAGTTCAAAAGTATACAAATATTGATGAATAGGATAATAAGTTAAATACACAAGGTTAGTATGATAAATAACAGATTTAAAAGAAAGATAGATAATGATTATAAGCTTCTAAATATGTAGAAAGTTAATGGATCTTGTTAATTTTCTTAAAAAAAGGTGAAGAGGGAAGAACAAGTGTAGGAAAAGAAAACTCTAAAGAAACAAGGTAAGAAGACTTAGGAAGGATAAAAGAAGGAGACTCATATTAACTAGGAAAGAATAACCAATAAAGACAAAGGAAAGAGACTTGAGAGAAACAAAGAAAGAAGACTCAAGAGTAAAATCTATATGAAAATACTCAAAAAAAAAAAAAAACATCAATAAGAAAGACATAAAGAAGGTTGAATATTAGTAAAATCAAATAAATAATTAGATGTTGAAGAAAAAAGAGATATTGAAGATAAATTATTAGGAAAATAAGAAAGAAAAAAAAAGGAAACAAAAGGAGAGAAAATATATAGTTTCATTGAAAAT